ATGAGTAAACTAGACTTAATGAAGAAGATGCTCAAAAAATTTCATCAAAAAATTCCACAAGGAACCGCCCCAATTGGTGACGGACGGACAAAACCTCCTATATAAGGGTCTAATTGAACACTTTAAGTGAGTTCAAGGGCCTATTTGACCCTTTAGCCAAATATTAATTTGAAATATGAATAGGAATTAATTAATATTCAAGAGAAAAGATTAAAGAAAAATAACTCGCAACTTACAATTCATTAAGCTTCAAAGTAGCAAAACCAAGATGGAAGAGTTTAGCTCCTCATTTGGAGACTAAACATGATAAAAATATAAAGCAAGAACTTGTCTAAACTGAGCTTAGAAGTATATGTGAATCGGTGATTTTATTGGGTAGTAAAAGGGGTGTATTTATAGGTGTTTGGAGGTGGCAGAGTCTGATACCCGACCGGGTATAAGGGGTACCCGATCGGGTTTTCAAGGCAGTTTCCCGGAAAGTTACTTTTCGAGGCATACCCTATCGGGTATGTCGGCATACTCGGTCGGGTATGGGCCAAAAAGTCAAAATCCTGCACATTTTTTTTGTCTTTCCAGATTCTGATTTTGACACCCGAGTCAACTCAATACCTTATCGGGTATGGCCAATACCTGAACAGGTATATGAAATATTTTTTCAATTTTCCTTTTATCTTGTCCTCTTGCACTTTCCTTGATCTTTGGAGTCCAATCTTGATCCTTTGGATGACCTTGACCTATTTTAAGCTCAGAATAATCCTAATCTAAACAAATTACATCTATCTTGGAAAATAAACTAATTACACCAAAAGTGTGCAATTTCTCTAACCATAAACAATAAAACTAATTAAAAGTGAAAAGATACATAATAAAATACGACATCATAAACTCCCCTATGCTTAGTTTCTTTACTCGTCCTCAAGTAAAGTCAATGTTTCACCAACAGTTTAAACAATCACGAACAGGCAAAAGACAACCAAGTAATGTTTAAAATGTGTTTTACAAAGTGAAATGATTCCGCTTATGCACTACACACTTCATGATCTTGGGTTTACTTGTCTTCTATGCTTCTCATGTTCCTATTCTTCATTGTATTGCCACATCCCTGTAAAAATAATTTCTCTCCTTTCTCTCATTTTGCCTACGATCCCTTTTTTTTCTAGCCTCTCATTTCTTTTTTATTTTTCTCCCAGACTCACATTTTTTTGCCATTCTTGCTTAGGTTGCCCGTTCGGGTTTTCAACCTAACTAACATTTCTTCTTTTTATTTTATTTTTTTCCTTTCTTTTCTTTAACATTTTTTGTTTTTGTATTTTTTTATAAATGAAAGTACATTTTCACTATAGGTATAATGAAGAGTTTTCTCCCCCTTTACTAACCCGAGCACTGTCCCTAGTGCCCGTTATCACCATCGCTTTTGTTTTTGTTTTTTATATGATATGAAGTTGTGGTTTGAGAGAGGGGTGAGTGTTTACAAGAGTTTCTGGATTAGAGGGTATGTGGAGTAAGAGGAAAGTGATGAGAACAAGATTATTATTACTATTATTTTGTGTGAGGGGTTTGGTGGAGGATTTGGATAGATTTTGAAGAAAGAAGGATATGGTTATGAGGTTTGGGGTGATTGAGGTGGAGTTGGATGGTGGTTTGGAAGATTAAAGATGACAAGAGGTGAAGAGGAGGTTGTTTAGGTGGAAAAAAATAAACGCATAATGAAGTACCTCGTTTGCATTGCCTCCCAAAAAGCGCCTTATTTAACGTCGTGGCACGACGTCATCTTCATAATTTCAATCTTTCAGGCTTGGATCATGATGCTCCATCTTCTTAAGATTTTTACCCCTAGGATTTTCATAAGAATGCTCAAGTTTCCGACCCTTCACTTTAAAAATCTTTTTAGGATCAAATATTCAGATTTCCATTGCTTCATGTTGTGAGAGTGGGGGGAAATTTCGCATTTAATATGGTCAATGGAAAGGGTTTTGATCCCTCACATTTGCTGAAGATTTCAAAGATGTCATTGCACTTTTTAATTTTACGAGTTTCTCTCAAAGCTTCCAGAAACGGTGGGGTACCTCAAAGGATGACAAAGATAGAAATTTTACTTTGAAGCTCGGCTCATCCTTTTTTTTGACAAGCTGTGGCATCATGTCTTCTTCTGGATTTTGGGTCTCCTTTTGCATTTCCTCCCCGTTCATCAATGTGACTGCAAAAGCATGTTGTTTAGGACCCTGTTCTATTCGAGAGGGAAGGTTCTCAAAGTATTCTTCATATCTTCAGTGGACATGCTGGAATAAGAACTTGAGTATGGATTATATGTGTTGGAGAATGAATCATACCTCTCTAGATAACAACCATCATTACTTTGTTCAAAGTATTCTTTTTAAGCTTTGGGCAAATATCCGTAAGATGTCTGTGTGACATGCAAATGTTGCAGGCCTTGGTATCTTGAACTTTTAAGCATAAGAGAAACTCCTTTACTAAAAAAGTCAAGCTAGAAATTTGACTCTCTAGCGATGTTGTTTTTGTATCCATATTAACAACTATTCAAAGTTGTTGGAAATTGTCTCACTAATGATTTCTCGAAATTCATTTCTCATGAGCTTTTATCTACTCTCATAAAGCTCAGAAAAATAAAAGTAAGAACTCTTTATACTTTGTTTATTATTATTTTTTCTTGAAAGAAATAAAAAGAAAAATAATTGTCTCCCCGGCAACAGCGCCAAATTTGACGTGCACTTTGTCGTGGTGTGAATCTCAAAATAATTATTAATACAACGATTATACGTAGTATAACGAAGTAAGGTTCGTATCCACAGGGAAAAGAATATTTATCTTTAACGTAACTAGTAACAAAGGGGGGGTTAGATTTGTTTGATGAACTTTAAAGTATTTAAACACTAAGATGAATGACTTCTGTTGTTTAATTAATTAGAGATGGGGACTTGACTTTGCTTTTTTCTACTTCATGAAATATTCGTCGATCCTGATTATATCTTTAACTATCTTCCTCTCGAATACTCAATCGAAGAGTATATCCAATTCATCGAGGGTAGTTATTAATAACGAGACGCGTTCATTAATAAAATTTACTACCGAGTCAATATATAACACGCGCCGTATATTAACCCGATAGTAGCAATAAACTTAAGATGAAAACAATTGAAATTGATAATCTCAACACAAGCGATTTACTGGTTTAATCAATATAATTAACTACCCTTAGATTATTAACCATGAGACACATGCATTAATAATTGGTGTTTACTACCATTGAAAGAACCGAATTAATAACAAGCGTATTATTCGATTGGTTCTAGTAATAATTAAAAAATGAAACAAAACTAGTTCATCCTTTAAGTAATGCTCAAAATATTAATATGAAATATGAATAGAATCAATTAATATTCAAGGAAGAAGATTACAGAAAAATAACTCACAACTTGCAATTCATTAAGCTCCTCATTTGGAGACTAATAATGATGAAAATATAAAGAAAGAACTTATCTAAACTGAGCTTAGAAGTATATGTGAATTGGTGATTTTATTGGGAAGTAAAAGGGGTGTATTTATAGGTGTTTAGAGGTGGTAGAGTCTGATACCCGACCGGGTATAAGGGGTACCCGATCGGGTTTTCAAGGCAGTTTCTCGGAAAATGACTTTTCGGGACATACCCTATCGGGTATGTCGGCATACCCAGTCGGTTATGAGCCAAAAAGTCAAAATCCTGCACGTTTTTTTGTCTTTCCAGATTCTGATTTTGACACCTGAATCAACTGTATACCCGATTGGGTATGGCCTATACCCGAACGGGTATATGAAATATTTTTTCAATCTTCCTTTTATCTAGCCATAAATCAACTCTATGCCACATTGGTGTTGTGCATCCCTTAGCACCAGCCGCCGCTTTGCTGCCGTAAATCCTGACATTGCCTATCCAGCTGCTTGGCTCCGTCGCCGCAGCAACTCTTCTAATTTTGCTGCTAGGAGAAATGGTGGAGGTTTGGGCTGGAGAGGGGCTAGGGCAGGGGAGGCGAGCTGAAGAGGGGGCTGGGGGAGGGGAGGGGGCTATAGCTAGGGGCATGGGTCAGGGTAGGGGATAGTGGCTTAGAAGGGGCTGGGGAGGGGCCGGGAAGGGAGTGATAATTCCGTATTTTAACACGCATTTCATGCGTGTTGGGATTGGTTTACTGAGTTTTCATTTGCATTTGATATTTTTAGAATTGAAATCACGAAATTGAGCCTCACACCGCTTTGGAGAGTTTAATTTGAGATTTCAAAGACACTTGCGAGGTAAATTGAGTAGCAAAGAGGACTTACAGCATACGAAGAGGACGAATTTGAAGAAGAAAGAGTTCAAAAATCGAGCTCAAACGCGGACTCAAAGAGCAGAAAACAAAGAAAACGCCATTGAAGAGGAGTGACGTTGTTCGCTATGATTGACATCAAGAAATATTGGACGGGAGGTGTGCACACACGTTGTGCACACCCACGCTACTCTCAGACAGGTTCACATGGACGTGCGCACAATGGACGCATGTCGTGCACAAGATTTTCTCAAATGGGGGAGATGGGATAGATCGAATCGGAAAGTCCTTATGTAGCAACCGACCTACAATGTACAATTATCCTTAATCTTATGTGCTTTGTGGAGAAGTAAACAAAGGTACTCGATTGTTGTCTTGTTTCCTATCACAAATGGGGATGGCTCTCCATCCAGGTCAAATTGCAACAATCTTTTTTGGAAAAAAAATCCCCTAGACGTATCTTCCAGAGGAGAATCGAAGATTAGGTGCTTTTGTAACTGTAGTTTTTTAAAATGATTTATGATCAGCAACTGATAATTTATTTTCCTGTTCTTTGTATATGTTATTAAATCCTCTTCCCACCAGTTTGTGAACAAATTCTTGTGTACTTGCATTGTTCCGTGTAGATTACACGTTTTGTTTCAACTGAAATCATGAGATAATTAGAGCACTTCTGACGAGCATGTGTACACTTTAGGGTGAATTATGGTGCAAAAAAAGCTTGTTCCACTGCATCATTTCTTTGATGAATTTGAACATGTGCAGTTTTGGTGTAATTAACTGCATTTTTTGTGCATTTATTAAAGCGATATCGAGTCATGTTAATCGTCTTGTGCTTGAACTTGTACACAATTCTGGCTTTTGTGATTCAATTGCTAAGGTAGATATTGTCTGCAAATTAACTGACTCAAAGCATATTTAAGCCAATGAAAACACAGATCGGTGATATTTAGTTATAGTTTCTTATTTTTAATCTCGTGGAATTTGCAGTTCATGATTGAGTTGGGGAAGAGTGCTTTTAAAAGAGTTATAGTTAGCTACTCAATAATTTAATTGCAAAGTAGATGATATGTCATTATGTCAAGTTAAACCAAAAAGAAAGGAACCAGGTGTGTTGCCAGATTGATCGGTCTTGAAGGTACTCCTAAGCAATAATTTACTGGAGAGGAAAGGAGGCCCCAGAGAGTTTCACAGCGGAGGAAATAACAAAGAGAGGAAGGACTATGCAGATGTTCTGAAACCAGCAACTTCTGGAAATAGCCAAGGCACTTCACTGTTATACGAATTGGTACCTAGTGTCTTTGTCTTACAATAGCCCGAGTGATACATGTCACACACTGGCTCACGGTGCACATCTTGTTGCCATACTTTTTTAAAAAAGCATGTGTGCTTTTGGCACGCCGACAACTTAACATTCCAGCTTAAAAAATGTGTTTAACAAAGCAAGGAACCCATTATGTCCGCATTTCATATATATCAGTCAGCCAACTGTTCTCACTCAACTCTGGTAACAAAAAAAATTTAGGCCACCGTTGCTAAATTGTGCTCTGTGAACTCGAGTGTATTCCATCGTTCAGGACCGAAACCAGGACCACCCAATTCAGACTGAAAATCTGTAAATTAGGACCAGGTACCCATCATGACCTGACAGGGTTGGTCCTAGGCCTGAAACCGGAAAAACGGACCTGGTCTAAACCCAAACACCACCGGTCCGGTTCTGTGCCAGGCCGAACTACCAGATCGGATCCATTCCTAGGGTGTGCTATGGTAGGATTTTCTACTTGAGTAATTTTCTGGTCTACCTAATCTGTTTAAGTGTAGTGTAATTCGATCTAACCTATTTCAATCTAGTCTGATAAACGTTTGATATATGTGTACTTTATTATTGTATAAATTCAATTTATTTAAGTCTAGTTTGGTCTCATCAAATACAGAAACAAGTCTAAGTAAAAACGTTCTTAATGATCAACCATGCTCTTAATGAAATACACCCTACGTATTTCAAAGATTGTTAGTTAGACTTTGACACATTATACAAGGAGGAAATCGTAGGGGTTATGAATAGTGTAGAAAAGTAGGATAGATGAAAGAGAAGATAAAAAGTATAAAAAGTAAGCTAATGGAGTATTTTTAAAGGAAACACTTACCAAAAGGGGCGTATTTGTATCATGTGCATATTTCACACCCTATCATCGACACTAATGAAATTCTGATTTAATCCCTCCCAATAAACTTGGTCCAATCCTGGGGCAATATCATTTTTGTTTTGTTTTGGATACAACTAAAAGAAAAAACAAAACAAATAATTCAAACCATCAATAAAGTTTAAAAACATAGAAGTGATGATAGTCTTAATACAAGAGACACAGAATCTGAACATACGAAGCAGTAGTTAAGGATACTTTATTTATATTTAGGGAATTTAATATTGGACACTTAACATGAATGCCTCACTATGTTTTTTTGAAGGAAGCAAGAATTCGAAAAGAGCAAATGAAGACCGGAAGGTTGGTGAATTTAATTTATTACCAATGGATAGAATATTTCAGTCTGCACATTAAGGGGAGTAAATATCACACCTGCTTGGTCAATGATACAAAAGCACTATACGTGCCTCCGGAAAAATGCAATTAGAGTGTACTTCAGCCAAATATTTGCATAATCTACTTTTGAAGTTTCCTTTTCTTGGAGTCAGATATATGTAACATGAGCTGTAAGAAGATTAATCACAACTGTAAAACAGGAGAACTGTTAAAGATAATTAATAAAGATATTCAGATTTCTACATTACTAACCTTAGTCCCAATGTAAAATGTCACAAGCATGGCACATAAAACTGGCAGCCCTGCAGGATATAAAACTTCATAACCTATGAAAACATAAGGTGAATTAAAAAGGCTAGACAAGTCATACAGATTAACAACCTTTTTTTGTTAAGAAGACAGCTGATAACCAGTTGATCCCTGATGGTCCTATCACAAAACCAACAAGATTGGCGATCTGCAAGAGCATTGTTATTACTCCCTGGTGTTTTAGTCAATAAAGCAGTAGAAGAACCACTGAAATAACATTGAGGACAACATTATTTATGATCTATTACACGTCAAGTTTCTTAATCTATTAAATTGTCCACATGTTTAAACAGAAAAGGTTCCAATTAGCAACACATCATTTCAATATATTGGATTAGCTCAAATGAGGCAACTGCCACTGAAAGTTTCAAACTCTCATTCTCCCTATACCCCTTCATATGCCCTATTATCATTTTTCCTTTGCCTCAAAAAAAAATCCTTATTTTGGAAAAAACTAGATTTTTAATTTTCCTGATTCACCTTTCTTCACTTAGTTTTTAAAAATGAATCGGCACACAATTTTGGAAAGTGAACTATATTTTCTATTATTTACTCTTTCCAAACAAAAACTCCGTCATGAGATCATTTTTGGAATCGTGTGATAGACAAGGAGCAAATGAAGCTGTTCAGTTTTACAACAAAGTTTATAAAAGAAGGAGGAATAGGGCAGTTAATAATAATAACGACTAAACTAACTAGTCTGTTAGTTAGTTAGTAGAGGTCCTAGAGTGGACTTTACTATAAAAAGAAGGTGAATAAGCTATTAAAGGTGGCTGTTGTTTGGCTAGAACTGGACTAGGAGAAGGGACATCTCGAATCATCCATTACTGTATACGAATTGTCATCTCTCACTTACATCAATAAAATCTTTCGCATATTCTGTTCTTCCATCTCTACTCTTGATTACTCTGTTTTGTGATTGGAATTATTAGTTTCTATCATTGGTATCAGAGCATTACGCTCCTGGTAGTTACAGAATTGATCAGAGAAGTACCGGAATCCAGAATTTTTTTTTTCGTTCGAAGGTGGATGGTTCGAACGAGAGGCAAAATGGATCATCGACTGGAATCGTTGGAGCGAAATCAGCAAGAGATGCATTCCGCGTTGGATGCTCTCACAGCAAAAACGGATGTGATGGCGGAAAACTTTCAGAACCGAGGGAGATCGCGAACACCTCAACAACTTCATACGAGAATTTCGCGCAGTCCGATAGGCTCCAGAGGTAACTCTGTTCATTCACATGTTAATATTGCTCGACGAAGTGATGAAAATATTAGATTACCTGGTAGAAAGGTAGATTTACCTTTATTCAATGGTGAGGGAGCCTATAATTGGATCGTACGCATGGAGAGGTATTTCCGCTTGAATCATATTGAAGAGGAAGAAAAAGTGGAAGCATCCATGGTTGCGATGGAGGATAGAGCCTTGAACTGGTTCCATTTATGGGAGAATCAAACGGAAGAAACTACTTGGGAAACCTTGAAGAAATCTGTCATTCGCAGATTTCAACCGGAGTTAATGCAAATTCCATATGAACCGCTATTGAGTTTGAAGCAAACTGGAACTGTGAAGGATTACAGAGAGGAATTTGAAATGGTGATTGCTTCGCATCTGACTCTGGATAGGGAATTACTGCGAGGAGTTTTCATGACTGGTTTGAAGGATGAGATCAAATCAGAGTTGAAATTGTTTGCATCCAGGTCTCTAACTGAGATTATGGACAAGGCTGTCCTGATTGAACAAAAGAATGAAGCACTCTATTTGAAAAGGAAGGAGGAAGACAAGTTGGTTGGAAGAGACAAAGAATCTGCATCAGTTAAACCTCAGACTTGGGGGGATGGTTTTAAGGCAAAATCTGGTAACTCTTGGTCATTTCAAAATAAGCTGGGTACAGAAAACAAGAACAACAGTTCAGGGAGTGACAGGATAGCAAACAAGTTTCCTGCAGCTCAACCTTCTGGGATTAGAAGGGTAGGGCCTCAATTATCTCAAGAAGAAGAGTTCCAGGAAAGGAGTAGAAAAGGATTATGCTTCAAGTGTGAGGACAAATGGAATAAGGAGCATACTTGTAAACTAAAGAATTACAAGTTGATGTTAATTGAAGATTCTGATGGGGAGGAAGTACCACAGGAGGGCAGTACAATTGTGACAGAACATGAAGAGGCAGTAGATATGGAGTCTAAATCGATGCAGTTATCTCTCATGAGCAGGGAAGGGATACCTACTATGAGAGCTTTCAAGGTGATGGGAACTGTGAAATGGGCAAAAGGAGATCAGTTGGTAGAAGTGTTAATTGACAGTGGTGCCACCCACAATTTCATTTCTCAAAGACTGGTAGAGCAGCTGGGATTACCTTTTAATACCATACCTAATTACAAGGTTCAGATTGGGAGTGGAGAGAAGATAGCTAATAATGGGATATGTGAGGAGCTGACACTGAGCTTGCAGGGTACAGACATTAAACAGGATTTTTATATCCTCAGTTTGGGAGGTACAGATGTAGTATTCGGTATGGAGTGGCTGACTAGCTTGGGAGATGTTGAAATCAATTTCCAAAAGCAAACTATCAAGTGGCAGCAGTTGGGTCTAGAGTTGTATATTCAGGGAGATCCAAAACTGAATTCTATGGAAGTTTCTTTAAAAACTATTTCACAAATCTTACAAGACAATGGAGATGGTTATTTTGTTTATTGTGAAAGCAGTACATTGAATATGAAGAATTGTGGGGAGCTGGAACCTGTATGGGAACATATTTTGGCAGAATTCCCAGAAGTTTCTCAACCGTTGGAGGGGCTGCCTCCCATCAGGAGCTGTGATCATTCCATTACCATTCAAGAAGGAGCTACCATACCTAATATTAGACCTTACAGATACCCTCACTATCAGAAGACTGAAATTGAAAGGATTGTGAAGGAAATGTTAGATTCTGGGATAATTCAAAACAGCACAAGTCCATACAGCAGTCCAATACTTCTAGCCAAAAAGAAAGATGGTGGGTGGAGGTTCTGTGGAGATTACAAAGCCCTAAACAAGATTACAGTTCCAGATAAATATCCTATTCCTGTCATAGAGGAACTACTTGATGAGCTTGGGGAAGCCAAATATTTTTCTAAACTGGATTTGAAATCTGGTTATCACCAGATTCGAATGAAGGAGGACAGGAAGAAGACAGCTTTCAGAACGCATGAAGGACATTATGAATACTTGGTGATGCCCTTTGGCTTGACAAATGCACCTTCTACGTTCCAAGCTCTCATGAATCAGGTTTTAAGGACATATTTGAGGAAGTGTGCCTTAGTATTTTTTGATGACATCTTGGTTTATAGTAGATCTATAGAAGACCACAAAGAACATTTAAGAGCAGTTTTATCTGCTTTGAGGGATAATCAGTTGGTGATTAACCTAAAGAAATGTTCCTTTGGGCAGCTTCAACTGATCTACTTAGGGCACATCATCTCTGGAGAAGGAATAAGAGCTGACCCTACCAAGATTGAAGCAATGGTTACCTGGCCAGCACCTAAGAATTTGAAGGAGTTAAGAGGTTTTCTAGGACTGACAGGTTATTATAGGAGGTTTGTTAACAGGTACAGTAAAATTGCCTTGCCCCTTATACAACTTCTAAAGAAGGATTGTTTTCAATGGGATGAAAAGGCTTTACAAGCTTTTGAAGAATTAAAGAAGACCATGACTTCTTTACCAGTATTGGCAACACCTAATTTCAATAAAACATTTACTTTGGAAACTGATGCTTCTGGAACTGGGTTGGGCGCAGTTCTAATGCAAGAAGGGAAACCAATAGCCTTTATGAGCAAAGCTTTATCAAAGAGAAACCAAAACAGATCTGTGTATGAGAGAGAGATTCTAGCCATTGTTCTGGCAGTGCAGAAATGGAGGCCCTATTTGCTGGGCAGATCATTTGAGATTCTGAATCAGAAAAGTTTAAAATTTCTAACTGAGCAAAGATTAATGGGGGAAGAGCAGCAAAAATGGACTTCAAAATTATTGGGGTATAATTTCACTATCAAATATAGACCTGGAATTGAAAACAGAGCTGCCGATGCTTTGTCCAGGAGACCTATACTCCAATCACTATCCACTGTGACATGCCAGGAATGGGAAGGCTTGGAGGAAGAATTGGAATCAGATCCTAAGTGTACAGAGTGGATTCAGAAGGTGATTTCACATCCAAACCTGCACACTGAATTTCAGATGAGAAAAGGTTTACTTTACTACAACAACAGGCTGGTCTTACCACAAGGATCCCCCAGAATAACCAAATTATTGAAGGAGTATCACGAATCTGCAGTTGGAGGACATTCGGGTATTTTAGAACCATGAAAAGGGTTTCTAATCTTTTCTTCTGGCAGGGAATTAGAAAAGATATTAAGAAATTTGTGGAAGAATGTGAGATTTGTCAGACAAATAAATATCAGGCTCTCAAACCAGCAGGGTTGTTACAACCCTTACCAATTCCTAATAGCATTTGGACTGACATAAGTATGGATTTTATTGGTGGATTGCCTAAGTCAAAAGGGAAGGATACTATTTTGGTCATTGTGGACAGACCGACCAAGTATGCTCATTTTGTGGCTCTATCACACCCCTTCAATGCTAAGGAGATGGCAGATGTATTCATCAAGGAGGTTGTCAGACTGCATGGTTTTCCTAAAACCATAGTTAGTGACAGAGACAGTGTATTCCTAAGTGCATTCTGGTCAGAGCTTTTTAAGTTGGCTGGGACTCAGCTGAAGTATAGTACTGCTTACCACCCTCAAACGGATGGCCAGACTGAGGTGGTCAACCGATGCCTTGAAACATATCTGCGATGTCTGACTGGAAGAAAACCTAGGAAATGGTTTCAATGGCTACATTGGGCTGAGTATTGGTATAATACCAATTATCATGCTGCTATGAAAATTACTCCTTACAAAGCTCTATTTGGACAGGATCCACCTGCAGTAATTATAGGGGATGTAACTCTAACTGCTGTAGAAGAAGTCTCCAAGTTAACTGCCCAGAGAAATATCATTTTGGATGAGTTAAAAGAGAATTTGGCTAGGGCCCAGAATCAGATGAGACAACAAGCCAATAAACACAGGAGAGAGGTTCAGTTGGAGGTGGGAGAGAAAGTTTATTTGAAGATACAACCTTACAAGCTAAGAAGTTTAGCTAAAAGGATAAATCAAAAGCTCAGTCCCAGATATTATGGACCCTTTGAGGTAATTGACAAAATCAGTTCAGTAGCTTTTAAGCCTAAGTTACAAGATGACAGCAAAATCCATCCAGTTTTCCATATATCATTGCTCAAAAAGGCTATTTCCCCTACTACCTTCTATCAGCCTCTACCCAATTGCCTCAGTGAGGAATTAGAACTACAGGTGGTGCCAGAAGATATCTTGGATACAAGGGTTGACAAACAAGGAAATGTGGAAGTATTGGTACATTGGAACAATTTGCCCAACTTTGAGGACTCCTGGGAACCTTTATTAAAGCTCAAAGAACAATTTCCAGAGCTTCACCTTGAGGACAAGGTGAAATTCCAGGGAGTAATGATAGACAAGGAGCAAATGAAGCTGTTCAGTTTTACAACAAAGTTTATAAAAGGAGGAATAGGGCAGTTAATAATAATAACGACTAATCTAACTAGTCTGTTAGTTAGTTAGTAGAGGTCCTTGAGTGGACTTTACTATAAATAGAAGGTGAATAAGCTAGTAAAGGTGGCTGTTGTTTGGCTAGAACTAGACTAGGAGAAGGGACATCTCGAATCGTCCATTACTGTATACGAATTGACATCTCTCACTTACATCAATAAAATCTTTCTCATTTTCTGTTCTTCCATCTCTACTCTTGATTACTCTGTTTTGTGATTGGAATTATTAGTTTCTATCATCGTGTTTCGCTATCCTAAGTCAGGATAAAAGAGGACGCCGGTGTGGTGGTAGGCGCGTGACGCCGGTGACGGTCAATAATATCACTCAGTCACATCACATGACATGAATCAAAATATAAATAGCACTACAACAAAGTTGTCGCCCGACGTGTCAACCCTTCTCTTAGCACTAACCATGGTATTACCCTAGATGGTAAGGAGATACCAGTCAATGATATGTTATGTTACTTGAGCTCCATGGTGCAGAAGAACGGTGAACTAGATGAAGATGTTTGCCATAGAATCAGAACATGGTGGATGGAATGGAAGACTACATTAGGATTTCTATGTGATTGAGGTGCGCCGACAAGACCAAAGGGTAAATTGTATTGGGCAGCAATTACGCCTGCATTACTATATGGCGCAAAGTGTTGAGCGGTGAAACAATGTCACATTCAAAAGATGAGTGTGACAAAGATGTGCATAGTGTATTGGATGTGTGGACATACTAGAAAAGACCGTTAAAAATGAGACAATCAGACAAAAGATGGGAGTAACACCTATTGAAGATGAGATGCGAGAGTCTCAAAAGCGGTGATTTGTTCATGTGCAAAGAACACTGGGTGATGCGCCTGTTAGACGAGTTGCGCGATGCGAATAATAGGCGGGGAGAAAAGGAAAAGAAAGATTCAATTAGATGTGGATTAGAGGAATCACAAGTGATGTAATTCTTTTTGGTTTGGATGAGCGTATGGCTTTGGAGAGAGTAAAGTGGAGGGCAAATATTCTCGTGGAGGATTGATCTTTTATCATCTTTTTTATCTTCTTTATCTTTCTTATGGTCTTTATTCTTTTATCCTATTTATATATATTCTTTTTATCTTATAGGGAGTAAATTTTATATTTATTTTATATTTATCTTATTTTATCTTATCTTTTTGGCAAAATTCACAAGAATAATTCCTACTTGCATGAATTCTACAATAATAATCCTTACAGAGAGTGTCCATAAAAATAATTTGTACTAATGCCCATTTAATACTCCCAATCCCTACATCCATTTTCTCATTCACCACTCTCCGTCTCGGTTAACACTTTTATGTTCCAACCTACAGAAAACCACATATGGCGGAAATGGCATTGATATTAAACGGGTTTGAGTTTGAATTTTACCCGAGAAGAAGAGTGGGGAAGAGAAAAGTGAGAGTAAAGGTTGAGAGTATTAAGCGGGCATTAATTTGAATTCACCCCAAATTCTTCTTGTGAATACCATTGCTAGTTCAGATTATTTTTGTGGACACTTTGAGTAGAGATTATTATTATAGAATCCCTAAAAGTAGGGATTATTCTTATGAATTTCACCTATCTTTTTTTATCATACCTTGTCTTTTGGCTGTGATATCATGTATTGATTCATGTTTGCCAAACCAAAATGTCTTGGGACTACGGATTGGATGTTGTTGTTGTACAACTTTCACAAATAACCAAGGTAAACACAAAATGGCCTTATATACATGGAACTATGGAAGTTGACATCCATGAAATTGCAGAAGATTTGAAAATTTCCATGTTGACAGGCACATGGACAGAATCTTGTCATCAGATGAAGTTAAATGACAATCAGATGATATCTGGAATCTTGGTGATTAAAACAAGGAACAGTTATACCATGGGAACAAATCATATTGAGTTCAATAATTATTTTTGAACACGTCATTTCCATACACACGCCATACACATTACTTGTGGAGGTTATTGTTTGGTGTGTGAAAATAATGTTCACAGACAAAACACATTTAATTTACAAAATTACTTCTTACTATTCGCTTCTAAGAAGGGGGCAAGTATCAGTTTCATGGAGAAACTAATTGCAGACTTAATATCAGGGCGTGATATGCATCAGCTTAAGCTCATGCTACTTTTAGCTTATTGATAAATGAATAGAAAACAAACCATAAGACAAGTGATGGTAACAGCACCAGCAACAGCATTGAGTTCATAGTAGAAAAGCTCACCAAAAGCACTTTCCACCTTACAAGCATAAATTTTCAAAGGATAACATAATCAGTCACTGCATCACCGAATAATTATTCCATAACCATAGATATAAATAGATCTTTTGTTTAAAGAAGAGAACAGTGAAGAGGGAATTTAGATAGGCAAGAAAATGATATAACCTTGAAGGCATTTGCTGTTGATTTGACCACCATTTCTGGTATGAAGAATAAGCACGTCAACCAAGCCCATGAAAGCAGCTTCCTGAAGAAGAATGTACAAAAGTCTTGTCTCAAAAACTTTTTTGTCCCCCCAAGAGATTTTAATCAAATGAAGCTGATTTTTAAGTAATTTTCCAGAAATGAGTCACACACAACTTACAAATGATATGTGTAGTTAAACTGACAAATAAATTTTTAAAAATATAAGCAGGTAGTTGGACCTTACAAAAAAAACTGTACATCAGGACACTTTTTGGGACTGAGGTAGTCCTCCCTTTTCTAAGTACTTTATCTAAATGCCTTACATAGAAACCACACTACTACTCATGTTGATTTTAGGAAAAACGATAGTCAATAGAATAAGAAGTGAAAGTTAGTTTTTTTTTTTATTATGGACGGATCTCATGCTAGGCTAACACGAAAATATAACGAAATAGTCTGTTCATTGGTTTTGTCATTAATATTATTAGTTGGTATTATTAGTTTCCTATTGCTGTTAAATGTTAATTAATATTATTATTGGTAGTAGAAAGAATGACGCGAATATTACTTCTAGAGTTTCAATGGACAAAAAAAATGACCAATTTCTGTTTTGGACAAAAAAGTGATTTAAATTATGACAATCCTAAAATGTCGTACCCCGTCTCTCTGCGTCTCTTCCTCATCAATGCCCCAGACATCATCTTCTTTCCCAGTTCTGGACAGCTCCTAAAATCGCCGCTGCCGCCGAGAGGGAGAGTCATCAACGCCAACAACTGCTCTCACAGCCGCACTGTCCCATCGGCACCGTCGACCTCGCCGTTCATTGTTTTCTCCCTTTCCGTTCACCTACATCGCCATATACCTCTTTTTTTCTTCTATTTTTGACTTTGGTGGTGCGAATGACCTCGTCTGTCATCATCCTCGATGGATCGATGACAAGATGGAAGTGCGAGGTCACACGAGCGCGTTACCGTAATCCTCACTTCTAAATCTGCAATGGTGGGGGCAAAGTCAGGGGGTTGCGTCTAGGGTTGCGGCGTCCGCAGTTACAGTTGCAGCATCAGTAACAGCCGGTGGTTAGGGTTGTGGGCAGGGGCAGGGGACTATAGCAGTGGCTGGAGGGCGGATGAGGGAGTGCTGGGCAGATATTGTGGCGGGATAGGGACATGGGCAGCAGTTTGGGGCAGTGGTCAGGTACTCAGGTTATAGTGACACCGCCACCGGTGAGGGGGGCTGCAAGGCTCAGAGGGGCGCAATGGTGTGGCAGAGGGAGGGTAGAAGGGGCAAGTGCAGAGGAAGGGGGCTGCACTGTGACAGAGGGAGGAGAGAGGGAGGACAGGCAGTGACTGTGAAGGGGGCAGGGGAGCTGGGGAGGAGGCTGCGGGCTGGGCAGACCCATTGAGCCCGATGGCTGTAGTTCTGACGGGGTCACTATGGTGGGGTCACTATGACCCGAGTCACTGTATCGCTGTGCCCAGTGTGTCACTGTGGTTGGAGCCACTGTGGCCAGTGTCACTGTGTCACTATGGTCGGCGGCGACCACCGGCAAGCGGTGGTCAATGTGGTGGGTCATGTCACTATCAGATAAAGCCACTAGGGACTAGGAATAATTTAGTAAGTTTAATGCTTTTTAGCATTTTTGGAAATTAAAAAAGGCATCTTTTTTGTCAATTAACCATTTTTAGTAATATTTAGGTCAAAATCGCTTATTATTATGACTGTTATTATTATTACAATTATTGTTATCATTAATTAATGTCCTATTAGCAGTGGTATTATACTTGGTTAATATCTTCAATAAGAATATTCTGAAAGTTAGCCTCTTGGAGTAGTACAGATAGATGCTCTCTATTCATTATTAATATCTTCAATAATTTAGACCAAATTCAGAGCTATGAAGCACGGAAACTCATAAAAGAGTCTATAAAAACTCTTTGGGAACTCTCCAAAGTTGTTTTTCTCTTAAAAGATGGTGTTTCTTGTTTCTCGTTTTCCCATTATTTGTTTCTGTGCAACATAGATTCAAAGACAAGGCTAGGTTGTGTGTCACCTTACTCTTGCCAGGGCATATATGTTCTTTATCTTTATTGCTTTTGATCTTCTTCCTATTCATGTCCCGACCGTGCCCACAAGAAAATGTTTAATAAACATAGATTTCATAAATGACAAATAAAATTGAACAACGAATATGGCTCCACATTGACAGATAAATAGGAATAAGAGAGTATACCACAATAACAGAAGCAGGTCAACAAGTGCTTGAAACTTACCACTCTAGATCATGCCAAATAGCAACAAATGTGAAGATCACCCATACATTTAGCAACTTTCTACCAGAACCTCCCAGAGGAATATACATATATCTGATAAATTATACAATAAAACTAAGTCAATCTGTCAAGGAAACCATCATTATATGAGTCGCATTTTAGAGAATAATATCTCGGGATACCACCTGACAAGCCATTTATTAAAGGAAGCATGCCAGTTTTTCCAAAATGTTTGCAAATTGTAGCAATTATTGATGCACCTAGGCATATTCTCAGGTGGCTCAATACCATTTACCTACAATATGAGGCAAAAAGCATAATGCATAATAATATGCAAGATACTTGAAGTTGCATTTCAGATAACTAAAAGTTGCAGTGCATTTGAAACTACCAGCGACCAGAACCGGAAATAACGCCAGATCAGGAAAAACTTGAGCCACATGAAATTTAGTACCTATTTATATCATTAAGAAAGAGCAAACACTTGATTGTATGTTATGGAGGTCTACCAAAGTATGAAATTGAAACTTCCTTCTTTTCTCCATATGCACAACCTTTCTTTTGATCCAAAACTTGCAAAATCTTGGCTATAATCTAAGCAGAAACCGGATAATATAAAGAAAATCATTGAAGCTCAATGACGATACTTACTCCGTACCCGATGATGAAGACATCCATTGGTGATAAATATTTCCACATCCCACTAAAAGGCAAAACAAATTCAGTCATAATGAATGAGAGAATTTTTCTCTAAGCCAGGTTATCAGTAGCTTGATTAATTTACTTTTGAAAGAAACACACCTAACTGCAAAGGCATTGAAGTAAAAGAAATGTGTCATTAATTCCATAAGATACAAGCTTAATACCCAGCGAAATCCATAATAAAATACATCGCGTAGTAGGTAAGTCTTCTGAGGAGCATCCAACTGTAATGACACAATAGAGAGAGGATTATTTGTAGGAGATGAATTGATTTAAGGACTCCATTTAACAACTCTTCCTAATATTTATTTGCAGAAGAATTTCCTTACCTACAATATACGTACATGTACCAATTATGCAGCAAAGTGTAACAAGTTCATGATGAAGTTATGATGACTTTGTTTTTATCTCAATAAAAGTAGGAAGAGCTCATTACGTCCTTCTGAATGAACTACCTATATCTAGCTAATTACATAGGACTATGCTAATCACTTTTCTTTTGTCATGTAGAAAATGTGACCGTGTATATATGTGTAGATAAGGATTAGAGTAATTAGCTGACATCAATTGTTAATTATTAGATAGGCACCAGTAGTTAGCTACATCCTATTTTTTAGGATCTCTACATGGAGGTTTTTACTCTTGTATCCTGTATATGTACAGGCCGGATGGCTCTTTAAATACAAGGAAAATTATTCCTCAAAACTTACTGATGAAAACAGAAAAATAAAAATCAACAAGGTAAACCGGTGCCAAGATAATCAACGATAAAAACCGTTGCCCAGAGCCAAAAGGCTAAACTCCAATTTTTTCCAGGGTTTAGCCTTTGTATAAATAGCCTTCTATTAAGAGACTCAACAGAAACCCTAATCGAGCCCAAACTAATTAACCCTAATTAGGCCCAAACTAATTCTACTAACTACTCTACTAATAATAGGCCCAAACTAAAAAAATATAACATAAACTTTATAATAATAAAAAAAACTATAATCCTAGACCACAACCAGCCCACGAAGGTGGGCCCAAGCCCGTTCCTGTCCCTTGCTCTCCCTGCTCTCTATCAATCCATCCTCCTTGGAAACAACCTTGTCCTCAAGGTTGAAATCCAAACATCGGCTCAAATTTTTCCTCAGGGGGCTGCCCAGTATCTTTAGGAAAGCTGCCACTCGATCCTTTCAGCCCGTTCATGAAATTTCCCAAAAAATGACTGTCAGATAGCCTTGGGACCTGACTTGTTAGTTGAACAAAAATTGAGATGTACTCCTCCATAGTCCTTGTCTGCTTGACTCCAGAAAGCCGTTTGAAGCGATTGCCCTTAAACCGTGAGTCAAAACGAGCCATCAACGCTTGTGTAGGCTCATCCCATGACATGCCCGACTTTCGTGTGCATAACCAGGTTAACCAGTATAGGCTGACCCTTCCATCGCAACTACAGCGGCTGCACCTTCTTTCCCTACGGAGTCCGGTTCAGTTCAAACTGTTGCTCAGACCTATCACCCTAGCCGATCGGGTCTTCTCCGTCAAACGAGGGCAGCGTCATGTGAGAGGTGTTGCACAGCCCAGTTCCGAACGAGGATGATGATGTTGCGTCGAGTGAAGCCACCGCCGTTGAATGCTCCTCTGCCGCTGGCGGCGCAAGAGCCTTTGTGAGTGCAGCCAAGGGGGCTGCAATCTCTGCCAGTTGGTTTCCTTGCGCGTCCAGCTTCGCTCCCCGTGCATCCAGTTTCTGATTGATTAGGGCTTGCTCGGCCTCCATCTCTGTCAAACGTTCAGTGATTGATCTCGTCATTCCGGAGGGACAGGATCCGGCAGGTAGGACCAATTGATAAAAATCAACGATAAAAATCGTTGCCCAGAGCCAAAGGCTAAACTCCAATTTAATTCTAAGGTGAGCAAGAATGAACTCTGGCAAAGGGTATAAATAGCTTATAGTAAGAGACTCAACAGAAACCCTAATCGATCTCAAATTAATTAAACCCTAACTAGGTCCAAATTAACTCTACTCACTACTCTACTAATAATAGGCCCAAACTAGAAAGCATAACATAAACTTTAGGCTAAAAGGTCAAATAGGCCCTTGAACTAACTTAAAAAGTGCAAATCATCCCTTCTATAGGAGGTTTTGTCCGGCCGTCGCCATTTGGGGCGGTTCCCGGTGGAATTTCGTGATGAAATCTTTTGAGCATCTTCTTCATTAAGTCTAGTTTACTCAAACCAAATTTCAGCTAGAAATTCAATCAGGAAGGCAGTCAAATAAATTTTTGAAGATAACTGCGCAGTTAACAACGCAGTACATTTCAGAAAATTATTTAAGTGTCTTCCCGGTTGAACCTTTATCTGAAATTTGGTATGGGTAAACTAGACTTAATGAAGAAGATGCTCAAAAAATTTCATCAAAAAATTCCACCGGGAACTGCCCCAATTGGCGACGGCCGGACAGAGTCTCCTATATAAGGGGTGATTTTTGCACTTTTTAAGTTAGTTCGAGGGCCTATTTGACCCTTTAGCCTAAACTTTATAATAATAAATAAAAGGGATAAGGGTCAGATAGGGCCTCGAACTTACAAAAAAATGTCAAATAAGGTCATTTGGGATGCTCTGTACGTCTGACGCCATTTGGGGTTTTTCCCGGTGAAATTTTTCGATGAAATTTTTTGATCATCTTATTCATTAAGTCTAGTTTACTCATATCAAATTTGAACTAAAAATTCAATCTGGAAGGCATTCAAATGAATTCTTGAAAATAACTGCGCAGTTAAAAGCGCAGTTATCTTCAAGAATTTATTTGAATGCCTTCTCGATTGAATTTTTAGTTCAAATTTGGTATGACTAAACTAGACTTAATTAATAAGATTCTCAAAAAAAATCATCAAAAAATTTCATCGGGAACCGCCCCAACTGGCGTCGGCCGGACAGATCATCTTATATAAGACCTTATTTGACATTTTTTTGTAAGTTTGAGCCCCTATCTGACCCTTACCCCTAAATAAAACTATAATCTTAGCCCACAACCAGCCCACGGAGGTGGGCTCATGCCTGTTCCCACCCCTTGCTCTCCTTGCTCTCTATCATTTACATAGTATCAGAGCTCTCGATTTAACATGAGAATGGTGGAAATCATTAGCTCTGAATCATCATTTTCCCAAACTAGTAACCCTACCTTCCCAATTACCTCAATGGCAAATTACCAGTCTTCTGTTCATTCATCTATGCTCATCACTTGCTATAGACTGAATGGAAAGAATTATTTGGAATGGTCTCGATCTGTGAAACTACCAATCGATGGAAGGGGAAAGTTGGGATATCTAACGGGAGAAATCAAAGAAAAAATAAGCGGCGATGATGGCGAGTCAAAAAATTCCTTAGTGACAACATGACTACTCAGTTCCATGGATGCATCAATTGCTAAACCCCACATGTTCATGAAGACAGCAAAGGAGGTGTGAGATTCCATTATAGAAACATACTCAGATCTTGAAAACTCCTCTCGGATCTTTGAATGGAAGACCATTCTTTGGCAATCTAAACAAAGAGATAGAGATGTCACCACTTATTACAATGAGATGGTGTATCTATGGCAGGAGGTGGATCATTGCCATGATGATGAATGGGAAAGTGCAAAAGATATGGTGAGACACAAGAAAATAGAGGAGGATGAGAGAGTCTACATGTTCCTAGTAGGAGTTGGTAAAAGTTTGGATGATGTGAAGGGAAGGATTCTTGGAAAGAAGCCTTTGCCTTCAATCACAGAGGTATTCTCTGAAGTCAGGTGGGAAGAAAGAAGGAGAAATATTATGTACAACAAATCAGGACATGAGAAGCCATGGTGTAATCATTGTAAGAATTTATGGCATACGATGAAGACATGTTGGAAAAATCATGAGAAGCCACCAGGAGAACTACAACAACTACATCAACATCCAAGCCTTAGTTCCAAAAGATATTATGGTTGGCTGACATGAATCGATCTATGATATAGATGTCAAAAAAACAAGAAAAAAAATAAAGAGATAAAACGGATAAGATAAAGATAAATAAATATAAGAAAAACAATAACATATGGAAAGTTAAAAGATAAAAAGATAAAAGAGCATTAAAAAGCTAGGAGATGAAAATAACATAAGAACATAAAGGATAAAGAAGATGAACGATAAAAGAGAAAGAGAGAGGAAAGATAGAAAAGAGATCAATCGTCCACATGAATGTGCGCCCTCCACTTTGCTCTCTCCAAAGCCATACTCTCATCCAACCCAAGAAGACGTATATCAGTTTTGATTCATCTAATCCAAGTCTGTTTGGGTTTTTCCCTCCCTCTCCTCTCTGTCTCTTCTTCCCACCCCTCAAGTCTTTTAACAGATGCATCACTCGGTCTTCTACACACATGCACAAACCACCGCAAACAAGATTCCAGCATCTTATCTTTTATAGGTGTTACTCTCACCTTTTGTCTGATTATCTCATTAGTCAAACGGTCTTTTCAGGTATGTCCACACATCCAACGCAACATGCGCATCTCCGCAACACTCATCTTGTGAATGTGACATTGTTTCACCGCCCAACACTCTACGCCATACATTAATGCAAGAGCCACCAGGAGCAAAAACAAGAGAAACTAAGCAAGTCAATTTCAAGCAATCTTCTTTCACAAAGGAACAAATAGACCAACTTCTTCGCCTTCTAACTACTTTAAAAACTCCAACCAAGAAACTTATTCTTGTTCTTATGCTCAAAATGGTACAATTGCATCATTTTTCTGTTCTGGAACGCCAAAAAACACCTAGGTCATTGACTCATGTGACACGTACCAGAATAATACACTTGCTCAGAATGGAATTGCTTAGAGCAAAAAATAGGAATTTACTTGATGTAGCTCGTGCAATAATGTTTTCATCAAATTACTCGCATGCCATCAATGATTTTAGGATTTAAAACTCCTATTAACACACTTCAAGACTATTTTCCTACAACCAGATTAAATAGCTCTCTTCCTTTGACTATTTCCCTTGTCTGCAAACTGTTTTTGTTTACAATAATAAAGAGTTCTATTAGCTTCACTATAGACTAGGACATCCTAGTTTTTATTATTTGAAAAAATTGTTTACTCAGTTATTTAATAATAAAGATCCTTTATTGATTCATTGTGATATGTGTGCCCTTGCAAAACATCACAAAAATTCTTATATCCCTCACAATGGAAAAAGAAGAGCAGCAGATATGTAAGTTA